CGGGGACTTCAGCACTCCACTGACAGAATTAGGAAGGTCATTCAAGCAGAAAATAAATAAACACTGGAACTAAATTAGACTCTAGAACAAATGGGCCTAACAGACATTTATTGAAGATTCTACCCCAAATATTTATACCCCTATAATAATATTTTTGGAATTAAAAAAATGCTTCTGTACAGCTAAGTAAAATAATCAACAGAGCAAATCAATGACCTACAGAATGAGAGAAAATATTCTCAAACTGTACATACAATAAAGGGCTAATAACTAGGATCTATGAGTTTATAAAGAACTCAAGCAAATCAGCAAGAAAAAAAAAACTGCCCCATTAGAAAAGTGGGCAAAATACATGAACAGAAGCTTTACAAAGAAGATAGACAAATGGCCAATAAACATAAGAAGAAATGCTTGACATCTTTAATCATCAGGGAATTGTAAATTAACACCACAATGAAATATCACCCTTTTCTACATAGAGTGACTTTTATTAAAAAGTCCAAAAACAATAGATGAATGATGTTGATGCAGAGAGAAATTTATACACTGTTTGTAGGACCGTAATTGAACAATCTCTATGGAAAACAGTATGAAAATTCCCCCAAGTACTGAAAGTATAACTACTATTTGATCCAGCAATTCCAGTACTGTGAATTTATCCAAATGTAAGGAAATTATTTTACCAAAAAGACACTTATACTTGAATGTTTATTGCAGCACAATTCACAATTGCAAAGCTGTAGAATCACCCCAATTGCACAGCCATTCATGAGTGGATTAACAATATGTGGTGTGTGTATACCACAGAAAAGTACTCAGCCATAAAAAAGGATGAATTAATGCCTCTTGCAAATATTTGGATGGAAGTGGAGACCGTTATCTTAAGTGAAGTATCTAAAGAATGGGAAAACAGATACCACAGGTACTCACTATTAAATTGGAACTGATGAGCACACATCTGCACTGAGGGAAGTAAAACTCATTGGAAATCAAGTGGGGATGGGCACAAACCTACCTAACAGGTACAATTAACACTATCTGGGTCATGGGCACACTTGTAGCCCTGACTCAAGCATTGCAAAAGGGATCCACATAACCAAAAATGTTTGTTACCCTGTGATATTATGAAATAAAAAATAAATACATTTTTAAAAATAAAAAAATAAAATGCATGATATTTATAGCCAGAAACTAATACATTTTGACACATTTTTGTCAAGCTGAAAGATGCATATTGATGAGAGATAACATTTGCCATCATTGCTATATTATTGAATTAACAAATATTTTTAATTTAGAGAATGATTTGATAACTTTTGATATTTTCTAAGGTTTCTAAAGAAAGCTTGGGAAGAAAATTGATGATATCTAAGCTCTTAGAAGCAATACTAAACATCGTAACAAAAAACTAGAGATACTACTTCACTATTTCACTATTTCATAATGATTATTCTTAGCTTGGTATATCTCTTAAATATGTCCCTTTCCTCCATCCCACTGTCATTTCCTTATTTTATTCCCTTATCATTTTTATATTAGCTGCACTGCTGCAATATTCTATGTATTATCCATCTGTTCCAGCCTCATGCCCTCCAATTCATCATCATTCATTCACCATGATCATCATTCATTCATACTCAAAGATCAGAACTCATAAATGACATATAAGGCTTAACAATTGGCCTCAAAATACATTCTCAGATGATCTCCTATACAGATTTCAAGTTCAACAAACCTCATACCACGGTTACCAATTGCTAATGGACGCAGAGAAGCAATTAGTGCAATATGAGGAGTACTACAATAGAGGATTAAGGTTAAGGAATTGTGAAAAATAAATGAAAGGCAAATAACCTCAACTAGAACAGGGTGGGGTTTCAAAAGGAAGACTAATGGGTCTATTTGTTATTTCCTATTTTCTCATCTTTCATTGTATTTATTTTACTTTTAATTTTTGTCTTTGGCCAGGGATACTTTTCTTCATTGGAACAGCAAATGGCGACAATAGTAATATTTTATTATAGTTGTTGGCTAGGTTAGAGACTATTTCTTGGTATCTTTTGTCCTTTTTGGCTCAGTTTCTGGCATTGAATAGCCACCTAGCTCTGGGTACTATTATTTGTGAGTGCATGATTCAGGATTCACCTCAAAACTCAAATTCTTCAAATTACAACTTGGTAAGAAAAAAATTTTAAAATAAATAAAAATAAACAAAAATATAAACTCAACTTCTATAAGCTTTCCCCAGCTTACATACATGATTTTCTCTTTCTTTAGGCAAATTATTATTTTGTGAACAACGCTTGGCTAGGGCTTGTCATACCAGATCGCACGTGCATGTGTATCAGGAGATAGGCAGTATCTGGTGTCTGGTCTCTATCTTCCTCTTCTGTGAGCTCCCTGGGTCAGGTATCAGATCTTCCTTATTAATTATATATTTGTCTTATTGGTCTCTGCTCCTTCCTGTCCTAGCACTGGGCTTAGAACTTCTTATGTACTTGAGAAATATAATACATTCTGAAGTTTTTAATTTTGTATATCAAGAAAAACTTATGTCTGAATTATAAAGGTTTCAAATTAAAGTATATCAAAATTCTTTAGAAGACCTTTTCTGTGACATACTAAATATTAATATCGGGGACAATAGAGTATAATCTGTGTTCAATAATCTTTCCATTTCAGTATCATAAGGTTTACCTATTAGAAAACAAAAAGTATACAAAATATATCAAGAAATTGACAAAAATCATGTCCAATCTATTATTTTTTATTTGCTTCTATCATATTGACTTTAAATACATGTTTTATTATATACAATTGAAATAATAATTCTTAAGTGTTAGCCTTTTAAAAACTGAGCTCAAGGAATAAAGAAATTAAATTTTGCTGAATTACTGACCGGTTATGACCTAACCACTATTTTTGGTAAGGATAATTTTTTTTAGCATATACTAAACTTAGGGCAAATAAGAGCTCTATGGCAAATAAGAACTCAACTATATGCCACAAAGTCTTTAACTATATACATATATATTTATATAGTCAAGATATATATTTTTACGTATCTAAAAATATCAAATGGAATTTTAAGAAACCTTTTCTAAAAAAGGATTTCTAATACCACATATTTTGGCTAAATATTAAAATAACATATAATTCCCAAATATATAGAGATAAATTATGTTTTATATCTTAATATTCTGAAAATAATTTGTGTCAAATATAAAAATCTGTATAAACATGTATTATTCCATTTATCGAGTGAATATTTCCAATTATACTACTGGGTAATAACATCAAGTGAGAAATTTAGCATTTATTTTGATTGAATTAGTTTTATTTAATGAGTAATAGGCATTATTATAGTCTATGTATATTTTAAGTAGACTCCAGGGGAAAAGAAAAAAGAAAGGACTCCGAATTACCCACAATTTTCATGTGATCTGTGTTCAATACTTTATGCATATAAAGTTTTAACAACACTATTTTTCTTCCCATTTTACAAATTCTTTTTTTTCCTTCTTTTCTTATTGTGTTTTTTATACTGCTTTTTTCTCCTCGTGGTAGTTGTTTTTTGTTGTGTGCTGCTCTTCTGTTTTTTTTTTTTCGGGATTCTTCTTATGCTGCTGCGTTTTTTTTATAATTATTATTTATTATGATGTTGTGCATTTTTTTTTTTTTTTGGTCGTCACGAAGAGAGGGTGTTCTTTTTTTTTTTTTTTTTTTCTGTTGTGTTTTTTTTTTAAGTAGTATAATGATGATGTTCTTCTTTTTTATGAGTACTATCCTCGGGGGGCGGCTGATGTTGTTTGTTGGGGGGGGGGGGCGACGAGGAGAAAATTATTGTTTTTTTTGTCTTTTTTCTGTAGTTCTTCTTGTTTTTCTTATATTATAAGAAGAAGAGGCGGCTGATGTCTTTTTTGGAAAGCAGCTGTTGTTATGTTGTAGGTTCTTGTAGTCAGCATTATTCGTTGGACGTCCTCGGGGGGAGTTATTTTTTAAAAAAACAGATGGATGAAAAAAACAAACTCATAAGCATGTACAGGTGATCTTTATTTGAACCAAGACAGGAAATAAAACCATTATTGAAATAAATGGACATGTTTTAATATCTAAATATTTCTAATTAAAGAAAAATTTGTAAATAGAAAAACTGCCTTTATTCTGTATTTTTAAGTATGTAAAGGCCCAGTCGAAATTAATAGGAATCTGGGAATTATAAGGAAGACAAGGCCTTTAGAATTATTAAAATAGAAAAAGAGATTGAGCATGAATATTTTGACTTGCTTTTTTATGGAATTAAAGAAAAAAATCATCAGTGTCTTTATCTTTAAAATCATGTAATGCTTATACTAACAGAGGAAAATAAACTAACTCTTATCAGCTGTTTGGGAAAGAATAAGAAAACTGTTCACATTTAAAGGCCCTCAACGGAAATTTTCTAACTTAAAAAGATTTTGTAACAGAGTGTGCATTGGCTTGAACCTCTTTTATTGTTCTGGCCCCTAAATTCCCATCAGAGCTGATGATTAAAGTTCTACCCACTGGCCAGGTCCCTACAATTATCCCATTGTGATGGCGCTCTACAGTGGCGCCCTGCTATGGCCAGACATCAAGTCATTAGAGAACTGCGAAGGATGTTGAAGAAGGTCATTTTAATTCCCTTTTCAACCCTTCTCAGGAGTGGCTCTTTAGTTCACAGAGCTGTGGGTACTTGCTTTCAAACTAACAAGCAATATTATAAATGGAGGCTGCATTATCATGATTGCAGACAATCTAAAGCACTTGAAGGCCAAGGATTCTCAGTCCTCAATATGTGCTGTTTTGTATTTATCAGCTGAAAATATATAGACAGTGCAAACAATAAAAGGCAGAAAATGCAATGAACAGAGTAGTAGGGGGCAGGGAAAACAATAAAAGAACGCAAGATAATGGCAAAATGAACAATAGAGAGGAGAGTACAGCCCTAGTCATTTTGTTGGTATATAAAATATTTTTACCCATTTTCTTGCTGTTCCACTGCATAGTGTTCCAGCTCTGTACCAGGAAGGGGCTGGACAGGAGGAGGAGGTAGAGGGACATTGGCCCAGGTCGATCCATTGTTTTTCTGTGGTTTAGAAGAGTTTTTATTTTTCTTCTTTTTTCCACCTTTCCCACCTGAAAGTAATAATGCATTTATTCAAAGATGCCAAATATCAGAAGAAACATAATATATCAAATGGGGAGATATATTTATGTTTCAGAACACCAGAATCAGTATGTTAGAGTTGTTACAATCTATAAACAATGAAATGATATAATCAGAAAAACATTTTTATAAATCACTCAAAATAATGTTCCTTTCCCAATGCATTAACTATAGAGCTGAATAAACCAAAAACATGGCTGCCATATCAAAAGCACATTTATTGATTTATTCACGTCTGCTGCCTCAACGTTTTCATTGTTAGAAAAAATAATGGCCCATAACAAATTCTTTTAAATGTCAGATTTTAGTGCATTTATAATGCTCTTTTGCATAATCTCTCTCAGTGGAAAATGCAGTGTCTAAGGATATAGGGTAAACTTTTCCATTAGAATTTACTCAATTTATTTAATCCAGGAGAGTAACATTTTTCTCTCAAAAGTAATGGATAAAAATCAATCAACTACAGTCTGGAGAATATCTGTAAATCTTTCACAAGAATACATTTTGTAGACCTTTAAACTAATGAATGGCACAATTATTTTTGCATACAGTGAGAATAGTTCTCAGTTATGCTTTAAGCATAACATTTCATAAAATTCCAAAAAGGGGAAAATTAATGGAAATACAGTAATTAGTTTCAGTACTAATGCAATACAAATGAATTTACGTGTGAAACATGAGCAGAAAGTAAGTCAGAAGCATATGCGGATCACATGAACCCAATATCTGAGATTACATGAGACTTATTGAAATATAAAAATAGGATTTATCATCTTACAGTACTTTACTTTTTACTCTTCCAAAATTAAGTAGATTAAGTCTCTTCCTCAAAAATGGACCACAGTTGGATGAAGGAATGAGTTCTTCTTGAGCAGAATAAGAAAGGATGTTTCAGGGGAACCTAAGTTACTTCTGTCACTCTATCATAGCCTATAGCTACATCTGCAAAGAATAGTATTGATCACCTTGGACTTCATCCTTCTGGAACTAAAAGTTGTGAGCATAAAATGTTTGTAGCAGGGCTATTTAGTAATATATACATATCATTATAAGTCCACCCATCCCCTTTCTTCTACCAGTTACTAATCTGCATCAGCCAAATTGGGACACCATGTAACTTAATAATACCATATTTGAGTGTCAGAAATTGATAAAACTGTTAATCTAGACATATTGCCAGTTATAAAATTGTATATGTTTTCTACATAACATACACACATACACACATATTTAAAAGAGCATCCTTGCAAACAAATGGCTTTCACTTTTCCTTTTACTTAGCATTTAGTAGAATGAAAGGTATTAAGGGGAAGGAGGGCATATATTATCTGCTTAGAGGATAAGAGATTGATCTCTGGATTTGAATACTAGCTCCTCACTTATTAGATAAGTTACTTAATAAATATGGCCTCCATATTCACACATTTAAAGTGAATAAAAAGTTACTATTAATACTTCTTTGAGAACTATTAATTTGAGAATGCAAGAAAGTAATGCATATAAAGTGCTGAGAATGTACAAAATGCTCCATAAATGCCACTCATTTTTGCTCTTCCCTATCTTCTCTACCTTAGAGAAAACCCAGCATCCATTATTGTCTAAGATCTTCTCCACTCTCAACTTCCACAGGCCCAGTGAGTATCCCAGACATAGCCAGACTCTCAGATTAAGAAAAATTAAGTTGAATGAATATAAGTCTGTAAATTTTGCCTTTAAGATAGATGAACCTTAATCTTTGGTTTCCTGATGACCTACCAAAATTATAAACAAGGATCACACCTTTTTCTTTAGTGTCAAAACTATTAATATATTTCAGTGATTAAAAGAGGAATGGATAGAGCTATTTGTCTTTCCTAGCTTTCGCTCTAGGTGTAACTCCTTTATTCCTTATATATTTATATGAGTAAAGTCTTTTTCACTTTCCATAGCACCTTTTAAAATATATGTTATGTAATCTCCACCAGAACTGAGTGACAGAAATAGGAAAGTTTTTATGTCTCCATTTTATAGATGGAAAAATTGAGGCTCATTCTGAGTATTACATGGCCCATATTCACATGGTAAGAGAAAAACCAGAATTTAGAAAGCAGCAGCTTTCCTGGAAATTACTATTTTTAGAGCTCTGAACCTGATTCTGTTGAAGTCCTTGCTCAAAGTTCAAGAAGCCATTCATTATCTACTCCTCCAAATAATAGATTTAAAATATATTGGAAACATGGCTGATTCTCAGAGGGACTTTGTGAGGGCTTTCTATTCAAAATCCATTTTCCCTTTGGGGTGAATATTTCTGCTCTTTCATTGTGGGCAGCCTGGGTAAGACTATTAATCAACACACCTGCTTTCTCTTACCAATGAGCTAAGTGGTATGTTCTTAGCATGGTGATGAGCATATGACAGAACCTCTAAGGCACTTAAATTCTCTATCTGAGATCTGAGTCTTAAATGAAGTGAGGCAGTCTGTTGCTGTTACTTGTAACCAAAGAACCCACAGTCATTTTAAGGTGAGAATAGCCTTGAAATATGTTTGAAGGGAGCATAGTTATGATGAATTGCAAACATATTTGACCTCCCTCTTCAACTCAAAGTGTAAATATTTGGATTTTTTATGCCCAATGAATGATTTTTATGTAAAGAAAAATATGAAAACAACTTATCTTGAAAATTAATGTATGTCTATTTAAAAAAAAACACTTGAGTATTTAAAGACTTATTCTTACCAATATTGCTATATATATATCTTTTTAATTGCTGTATGTAATTTTTAATGTATACCTAGTTATTAATATGATTGCAAATACTATTTTGAAACATCTGATTTTCCTTGTATATTTTTAATGGTTGGATTTTTAACAGAAATACTAACAACTTATATAATTAGTATATTATATTAATAAAAGTTTTTCAAAGAGACTGATAAATTCACTCAAATATTATATTAATAATTCAAAAATATCTAACTTTCTTTATCACTGTGATTATTTTAAATCGGTTACATTGCTTTGCACAAATTAAGAAAATCTTATAATATGATATGGTTAGCTAACTATAGGGAAGTTTGATCTTACATTTGAGTCTGAAGGAAACATACCTATAATTTTAAGAATAAAATTAAACTCTGTAATGTTAAATTCAATTGGACTAAATTAAAAGGAGAATAATCACTTCACTCTCACCTATTGAAGAATGCTTTCTATCACCGATTTAAGTAATTTTGTATTCAAATGTAGATGAAGTAGGTAATAGAATTCATAGATATATATAAATGTCACTCAGGAGATTAATGGATTCAAAAAAGCAGTAAGCACTATTGTGAATCATATTCTACTTACAATTACTCAAATGATAACTTTTAAAACTTGGTGGCAATCAACATATACTGAATAATTAAAAAAAATAGAAAAAGGACTTATGTAATTCATGGCTTAGAATATATAGAATATATATATTAGAATATATAGATTCTTAGAATCTTAGAATTCTTAGAATATATAGATTTCTTTCTATATATTTCATGAGACTACATATTTTTAATGAAGTAAAAAGAAAGCCTACAGTAAATTACTTTTTAATTATTCAGTACAATTTTAGGACATATTATAAATAAATGACAGCATAAATGACATATAAGGTCATTCAAAAAGTTTCCTTATAATATTAAGCCAGTTTAAATTCATAACAGATGTTTAAAATATTTTGAATTCTATAATGCACCTAATCCTACCAATAGGCAAGAAGAGCAAATGACTCATTTTGAAGGGAAGTGAGAGCATTAACATTTTAAAACTGAGAGAGTTTTATCTCCTGAGGAAAAGTAATTTAGTAAATGTTACTCTAATGATGTAAAAAATTTAACTCTTTATGGCTTTGATGCCTGGTAGCCTGTGACATATCATGATAGAATATAATCCTTTACTAATAACCTGTAATTAAAAACAAAACAAAACAAAAACTCCATACAAACAAATAGCATACGATTAATCTGAACAAATGAAGCAAGTAGGGTCATGGAATAAATTAGAAATGCAGATAAAATCATTAGCCATACAATGATAATGTTATGTTTGGAAGTTAGAGTGTGTCTCCTACAATCTTCTCATTTTACACATTAGGATCTTTGGGCCTGGGATTATCACCGATATTCATTACAATAGGTATACATTTTTGTTCAGTAAAGTGTGCTTTTCCACACATGAGCTATATAATACTCACATTATAGATTGTTAGTTTAGCTGATATAGCTCCAATATCTATATTAAAATTTACAGTATGAAAGAATGATCAATATCTATATTGTGAGGTTTTTTGAAATTAAATATTAATAGTAATAATAATTTTCCATATTAATTTTACTATTTAGTACAGTATAATATCATTTAGTAAATAATAAATATTATTCCATGATATAATATTTTGGAAAGATTGTCTAAAAATAGGAAGTCACATCACTGAAATATTAATATAACAAATCTCCAAAATCATTTTCATTTTAGTTGAATTTACCTTTTGGTGTCCAGGACATGGGATTGACTTTCATGTATGACCTTTCTATTAGAAAGTTCTCTTGACTCTTAAATAGGGTTCAAGGCAGATCAAACTTATCTGCTCTTTAATAAATAGTATTTAATAAAACATTATCTTTCTCTAAATACATCCTTGCACAGTTAGTACATAAAGGGTGACAGTGATTTTGATACCCCCTCCCCACCCTCAAAGCATGATTTCATTAGGATAAACTGTTACTGCCATTTGAAAGATACCTAACAGTGAGTCGTGATTCAGTATTTCTTCATGGTTGCTAGGAACATAGGTCATATGCTGGTGACAAACAAATATTTCTCCTTACTGTAATGAGACCAACCTGAGAGACTGCCACTCCTTTCTGAGCTGTTGTGAGAGCTGGTGGTGCTGAAATCCTGAGACTGGTTGTGTGGCATTCTATTAGACAATCCCTCAGCCAATCGGTAGTCAGGGATGTAAAGTAAGGCTAAGGGTTAAAGGGCAGAGGTCATAGTGGCATCATGTGATTAGTTCACAGCACAAGCCCATGCAGAACATGCAGTTAGCAACTCAGAAGCAGATGTCGTGGGAGAGTGGAGGAATGTTTTGTCTATCCTGGCCTAATGGAAGTAGAGATGGATTGCTGATCACTATATTGAAAAAGAGCTAAAGGATGAAACCGATTGGCGTTGGTTTGTGGCGGCCGCGGTGGTGGTGGCGGTGGTGGTGGTGGTGGTGGTGGTGGAGGAGAGGGTGGTAGGGATTATTCAAATTACTGAATACATGCCAGTATATTTTTTGAATTTAGACAGTAAACCTGATAATGAATCACTAGGTCAAACAACAAATACTAACTTCTATTTCATGCACAAATGATATGAAAATAACTCTGAGGGCACAAGAACCTGACTCACCATTGTTACCTTTGTTCTGATCAGGTAGAGAATAACCAAATCCCATCAGATCTGTTTTTTGCTGGATTGAGCTTTTCCACTGTGGATCAGGCAGATCGACAGCCAATTCGTGTATGCTATTGGAATGCAATATTTGTGTCGTGGCATATGGGGTAGCCTGTGTTATTTGGCTGGAACTGTTGTATGTGGTTTTGGTAGTGAAGTCAATGCTGCTGTAAATGGCTCCATCTGAGAGCATCGTTGCTGTTTTATCCCCTTGGCCTGGAACCGGTGGCAGCACATCTGTGGTGAACATAGGGAAATGAAACAATTTAATGATGCTCCGGAAGCCCAAAACTATCAGGGTTGAAGATGAAAAATAAGCATGTCATGCCGCACGTTTGCATTTCGGCTGAGATGGGCTTCATGAGCCAGTGAAGGGTAGATGATGTACAACCATCGCCAAGCTATCAGCCTCAGTGACAGGCAGGCCCACTGCTCGCCCTTCACATCTCACTGCTTAACACACCCCTCCCCCCATTTTCTTCCACCGTGAATGAGAAGTTTGGGATATTTCACTACTGAAAAATGCTTTCAGTTGTTCACTCTGGTTTAGAACCAATGAAAGTATAGGTTTACAAAAGCAATGAATGATAAGAGTGAATTTACAAATCGTGGATGAAAACATTTTTCCATTATACCCCAAAACATAAAATACAACTGTGAACAGATGAAAAAATTTCCCAAATTATACCATCTTGACTATGAAGTACATTCTTCTGAAGTTTTAACTTGCCTGATTTGATTTCATAGCTCCAGAAATGGAGAACAATTGATGGTAGTAAATGTGTTCTTTTTTCTTGGATAACAAAGGAAAATTTTTCATGAATAAGTCATTTTCACAATACAGCAGTATTTGACTATAGAAAAAGCAATCTCAGTGATCAGTGAGTTTAATTTATGCTATCAACTCTTAGAACTAGAGAATTATAGTTTCATGTTGTAATACAGCAAGAGTAAAATTAAACTTCAGGAACAACGCTGAATATCAATCAGTCCATTTATCATTTTGGTATGCTGAATTATCTTTACATGGTGCTTTATAATTCAGAACTGCCACCTCTCTCCTGAACTCTTATTGTCCCTTTCTGGAAGGAAAAAACTAAGTAAATCTAAACAGAAAAACACTAAATAACACTACTTTTAATAATAGAGAGTTAGAATGAATCTAATTGTGGTATATTTCTTAATAATATATGTTCTGAAAATGTCACTTCATCAGACTTGGGTCATCAAAACACTTGATTTCCTCATCAGAAAACATTTTCAACTATCTTAAAACTTTTAGATTAGATTATTCCCAATGGTGCTTGAAATAAAAAAATGTTACAGAAATATGATTTGCTTTTGCATTTTACAAAAGTTAAAAATTGTTTTCTTTAGCAACAGTAGTAAGAAATTTATAACGTATTTTATACTCTGTATCATTTAAGTCTTTCTGAAAGAATTGAAGTACGGAATTCCAATTTGTTGTACAATTAAGTGGATATGTACTTTATTAAAATAAATATTTCAAATAGATATCAGTGAGATTGTTAAACATACCCAAATTTATAATATTTCACTAGGTTGTATAAGCAAATAAAATTGCTTTTGGATTTCAGATTTTTGCAACTACTTTCTTTCCCTTCTTGCTTTTAACTATATACTAATTACAAAATTTTATATTAAGTGTATATCATTTTCAAGTGTTAATATTTTTATTCTCAAAAACTTTTAATATTTGACATATCAAAATTGGTGAAAATAGATCCTTTACTTGGGTAAGTTTTCAGATTTTCATTTCTGCCTCTTCCACCATGTCTTTCACTGATAAATATAAACCAAATAGAAATGTTTCTCCAAGATGGACCCATTTACACACACATTGAACCTGAAATTCTCCAGTGCTTTAGATTTGAACTGTAAGCCACCTCAACTGCAAGCTTTTGAAATAGTTACGTGCCTAAATGATAAAAAATGGAAAAATGTGGTCCCAGAATCTAATCCTACATAATATTCCTCTACAATAATGAATATTATACTATAGCTCTAGAAATAGAATCTCTCCTTTCCCTGCTAGACAAAATTATATTCAGCCTTCAAGTCTAAGTGCTTCTGTATTGACTTTGGGGCTGCATATTGTCTTCAAATATGATTTTATCACTCCCTTATTTTCAGTTCTCAAAAAACAAATTAAATTATATCCCAGTATTAAAATAATGGAATATTATACATGAATATCTGCATGTGGAAGACGTTCTGCAATATCACATGATTTAGAATTCTTGGCAGGCCTTCCTTCCAAGAGGCTGGACCTGAATAGGTGCTGCCATCTTTAGGCAGTAGTTTGTTTTCCAATTATCACTACCTCCACCTACCAATTCTTAATGATTTAGGCCAGTGGTCCCCAACCTTTTTGGCACCAGGGACTGACTGGTTTCACAGAAGACAATTTTTCCATAGACCAGGGCGGGGCATGGTTTGGGGGTAATTCAAGCACATTACATTTATTATGCAGTCAAACCTCTCTGCTAATGATAATCTGTATTTACACCTGCTCCCCAGTGCTAGCATCACTGTCTGAGCTCCACCTCAGATCATCAGGCATTATATTCTTTTAAGGAGCATACAACCTAGATCCCTTGCATACACAGCTTACACGAGGGTTTGTGCTCCTATGAGAATCTAATGTTGCCACTGATCTGATGGTAGGTGGAGCTTATGGGGTGATGCTAGTGATGAGGAATGGCTGCAAATACAGATGAAGCTTCTCTTGCTTGCCTGCTGCTCACCTCCTGCTGTATCGCCAGTTCCTAACAGGCCACAGACCAGTGCCTGGGGGCTTGGGGACCATAGCTTTAGGCTGTCTGACTGGTTGGTGCATGTTAACATTTTAAAATAAATGAATTGTAGAAACACATCTCTCAAGTTGGAATTAGTGATTCATTCTGCAGTTTTTCAACATCTTGGTTATACTTAAGCATTTATTTCCTTTGGCCTGGTAAAATTATCAGTATGAATGATTATCTCTTTTACTGTATCATAAGTTACTTGAGGACAGGAGCACATGGCATTTATTCCTATAATTTCTTCTCCAGTGTTTTGAAGAGAGTAAGCACTTGCTGATTTAAATGACTAAATGAATTTTTTATAGTTTGCTTTGACAAAATGCAGATTTATGTAATAATTAATAAATTTGAAGTTCAAAATGCTATTTTTACTGCATTCAAGTATGTATTAATATTCCATTCTTAAAGGGAAAATGTCAGTATTCATGCTTATTCATCTAAGTGAATATGGTTATACAGTCATACATGTGAATCAACCTTTATGAATAGAATACAGAGTAGTATAGATAAAAGAACCTAGGCTTTAAAATCAGTCAGACCTGCATTCTATGCCCATATCTAAAATTATTCATCTTAAAACACTTTAGTTTGCTAGGGAAGTGAAACTGAATGGATATCAAGTGGGGGGAGGGGAGGATGGCTGAAAACCTACCTAATGAGTACAATGAACACTATTTGGGACATGGGCACACTTACAGCTGTGACTCAAGCATTACAAAAGTGATCCACGTAACCAAACACATTTGTACTCCCTTAATATTTTGAAATTTAAAAAGAATTTTTTAAAAACTTAGTTTCTTGACCTTTAAAATGAAAATGTGATTATCTGCGCCACACATTATTATGCAAAGAAAATGAATTAAAATGTACAAAAAATCCTAACAGTATTTCTGGCACATAGTAAATGCTCAAAATGCTGATCATACTGAAAAGAGATACAGTAAACTCTACAAAACTTTGTCTTGGCCTTGATGTTCATCTGTAAAATATTTCACATCATGAAAATGAAGTGGAAATGGAAGAAAAACCTTGCAAATCTATAAATGTATTCTTTGTTTAAATTGGACCAAGACATTTTATTTTATTTTTTTTTTATTTTTTATTTTTTTTTTTTTTGAGACAGAGTCTCGCTTTGTTTTCCAGGCTAGAGTGAGTGCCGTGGCGTCAGCCTAGCTCACAGCAACCTCAAACTCCTGGGCTCAAGTGATCCTCCTGCCTCAGCCTCCCGAGTAGCTGGGACTACAGGCATGCGCCACTATGCCCGGCTAATTTTTTTATATATATATCAGTTGGCCAATTAATTTCTTTCTATTTATAGTAGAGACGGGGTCTCACTCTTGCTCAGGCTGGTTTTGAACTCCTGACCTTGAGCAATCCACCCGCCTCGGCCTCCCAAGAGCTAGGATTACAGGCGTGAGCCACAGCGCCCGGCCGACATTTTACATGTTAATGCAGCCTACTAGAAACTGAAAAAAAAAAATTCCATCTTTAAACATTCATTTCTTGATATAACAATAGAATGTTGCATCATTTCAGTAAAAATGCAACCAGTAAAAGAAGCAGCTGTTCTGTGATTGATAAAAGCTTTGGGAACAGGGTTCTGTTTGACAAAATCAGTCTGCATAGTAGGGAGAGGGATATTCTGCTTTCCTGGTGAGGGGATGTTCAGGTACAGAAACTCCCCAAGGTGGAGTGATAGCCTACAGATGCTCAGAGTCTGTTTACCTAGAGGAGGCAGCTACATTCATAATCTCTGGGAAAGTGAGAATTCTAAATGGGGTGTGCTGGCTTTCAGAGGGGTAGCCAGAAGTTGAGGAATTATAGAACTTACTTTCCATTCTCTCAGTTACTCCACGGATGCCTATTAGGCACTGATTGTATGCCAAGCTTTATGCTAAACCTATATATACACATAAAAATGTGTATGTACACACATACACACACACATATATGACTCAACTCATTAGGAAATTCATTCATTTCCCAAAGATGTCAATGTCTCTCATTTCTGGAGCTTAAAATATGGTAATTTCTTTCCTATACACCTTTTTCATACATTTGACCAATTCCTGCCCCTCTTTCAGTTATCACCTTAACATTCCCTTCATAGAACTTTCTGATTCCCAATGGGCAGCCCTCCCATGTAGGGTACTGGCAAGGCAATTAATGTCTATGTACTGTCAGCACAACTTTCTTCCAATGGAAAACTCACATATACCTGCCAAGCCAAAAGCTGAGATCAATGTTAGCTACTCTCTCCCACTGACTGCATGAACAGATGAAGTCAAGGAAAGGTGGTAGTTATTTATGTAGATCTACTTCTATATTCTTATAAAAATGTATGAAGAGGACTCTGGTGCCAACAACTACCTAGCACCTTTTTGTCTTTCGTTTTGGATGCCAGTTATCAATTGTGGAGCTATAGAAAAGTTCTCTCTCAACATGTTGTCATATTGACTTAACCATCTACTCCTTACATGACATATTACAGTAGGGTAAGATAAGAACCACCTCTTTTTATGTCAGTATTACATTCTTAGTGTTTGCCATAATACCAAGTACACAGGAAGTGCTCAATAAGTATATATTAAGTGAGATTTAGAGAAATGAAACATCTAGTCCAAAATCAAAAACCCTATTTGGAAACATAGTTTCTGATTTTAGTAATCTTATACTAATAGTCCTGAAAACAAAATATGATATGCATATTGATCTTTTGGTTAGTAATGATTTACTTAAAAGCTTGGTTTTACTGTAGGTAATATAGACACAATAGTTTTATATTAAAACAATTAGAAAATGCACAGTACTGTTAGCACCTGTGATTCATTAATTTTAATTATGAGATAAAATATTCTCTGATATGTCTTCTTTAAAAAATCTCAGAAATAAAACAAATCCACAATAACAAATAGCATTAATTTGAAAAATGTAACTTACCTCCACGACTGAAATTTCCAATCTCATTTGGGCCACTATTGCTATTGTTTACTGGCAAGCTCGTAGCTGGCCATGAATCAGCAAGCCACGGATAACTGGGATCACCAGCATTTAGAAGACCTGGACGGCTAAAACAGAAATTACATGGAAATCAACCCATGGGTCTCAATGCAAGATTTTGACACCTGTCTAACACACTCAAAAGGGTTAAAGAATTAATAATATTTTAATTGACTTCAAATTAAAATATGTAGGCTCTGAAGAATAAAGGAATTTCAGCAGTTCATTACGGCTATATATAGATCAACACTGACAGTGGAAATAGAGAATCCTTGCTTGGGATTCTCCCGATAGCCAGCTGAATTCAGGGGTATGCTCTGAAACTGATGGGAATCAGTAGCATTGTAGGATCCCGAAACAAGATTTGATGATAAATTGGCACCTCAAGGGAACAATTGCTCAGAGTGACTGTATAGTATCAACCATTTCCAGGACTATCAGCTATTCCTTCCTCAGTTCCTGCATCTTCCATATGTATCTGTCCCCTCTAGGATGTAACTCTTGTTATGAACCCCCACACTTGATTTAGAGGCAAGGAACTTGAAGGAAATTAATGAACAGTATTTATACTGTTTCATCAATAGCACAGTTCCAGGTCCTCTAAGTTGTAAAATATCAATGGGTATATAAAGGTTTTTTTTTAAGATTATAAAAGATACCCTGTGATCTGACCCAGCATGTGAGTACAGTCTAGGAGGAAAACTTCCTTCACATCATATTTAATAAAGAACTCCCTTCTTTAATATAAAAGATGAGATTCTGGTTCCTTTCCAGATTACTAGCATACTTACAAAGAAATAGAACATCTATAATCATTGTACTTTTTTTTTTGTTTGATAGACCCCTTCTGGTACAATCCCTAAGAGAAACATGTGTTTCTATGGAAACTGCAATAAGAAGATCCAACTGCTTTCTTGCTACATCTACTAGCTCTCATTAGACTTAATCTCTTTTTGCTGAAATATTGATTAAATGGGAGATTGGAAGTTATTACCAGAGCCTAATTACAATCTCCATATTGGCAAAGGGAAAATAGATAAGGATATATGAGTTTGTTATCAGCTTTTATCAATTTCAATTGAGTATCCAAAGTTGTGGAATCCAGTCCTATCAATCTACAGACTATTCATCATCCATGAATCATTTACTTTGTGATCGATTATGTGTAATTGTTCACTCACAGCAATTTAGTGAGAGCCAATAAGGAGTCTTAAACAACAGCAACTTCATTTGCTAATGTCTAATTAATGCAATAAACATCCTGCTAACAAATGAACACATTCCTTGTGATATTTACTACTAATTTCTTCAGGGGCATCTGGGAGATATGAAACATCTGGACTTGATTCCTCTAAAGTGCACAACAGATAGATCATTAAACCTTGTGGTAAGCCATTTAATTCCTCCTAGAATTCTCAGACTTATAAGTGATCGTTTATTACAATAATAGCCTCTTACTATAGAATTTCTCTAGTCCTGATTAAAAATAATAATAAAAATGAATTTCCTTAGCATACCTTCCATTGCTCATTAGTCCTCCATCACCTCTCTGAAATGTAACTGTAAAAAAAGAAAGACATACATGCACAAGTAGTCAATATTAATTACGATTAATAACTACACATTGGCCCTTAGTTTAGAGTTGAGGCCTCTGGGAATTTTAACAAAATATAATTAACATAATTGTACATAGAGTAACAAGCAGTGGTTTGGCCCAAGGCAAAGCTATCATTTGCTCTATATTTAATAGGACATTTCAAAATTCTTCAATCCAAATATATGGTTAAGTTAAAGCAGCAATTTGTATGTACATGTCAAGCACAGTTACAACTAGTATATATAGTGATATTGGGAAATCAACATAGCATTAATGTGGATTCATCAAATCAAGACTTTTAATTGTATCACAAAAGTGTACTAATTGGAAGGCATAAGGCAAAACATTCATAATATAAATTGAAACAGAATAGTTCAAACAGGTTACATCCTTCCAATAAAACAAGAGAAGCAAGTACTTATTAACTATATATAATTTTTATCATCACAAATCTTTCTTGGGACCCTTATAAGCACTATGAGTTGAACAGTTACAATTGTAATAGACATTAACTATAATTAATAGAGAATAACATTCTCACAAAAGTAAAATTTCCAAATAATCAATATTAAATATATTCCAATTGTACTTATGGCAAAATCAAGTCCTCTATAACATATGGAACTTATTAGCAACACCAACAAGCATCCATTATAGCCACCATTGCTGGTGAATCCACTCTTTCCAGTCAAAAGTTTTCCATTCTGCAAAGCCAACAACATGAAAGTGCACTACAAGGACTGGCAAAAGTATATGAATATCAGTTTAGGTCCATCATACCTTATCCAAAACCTTTGCCGTAAAATGTATTTAGATTCCAAAATGATTCAGATCTGATAAAGATAATATACTTTGAATACTACAAAGAATGAAGCAACAAAATGTATTCAAAGTTGTTTAATTTTTCTGCAGTGGAATGTGAATATCATGGATATGATTAGTGGGATAAATAAGGGCTATAAGTAGCTTCCCATTGGTTTGGATCAAATTTTGCCACTGAATTACCTAACTAGAAAATTATGGAAACGAAATTTGGTGTTTAGAAGTCTATGGATTGCCAAATTGCAATAAACTTGCAATTGTGACCCAAATGAGTATGGATTGGCTCAATCAATCACTGAGGAGAAAGTAAATAATACCATTTTCACAGCTGTGAATCCAATAATTCCTATCTTTTGAAGACACTGATTATATTTATTATGATGTATTTTACTCGGTGAGTACAGGTGAAAATAAATGAAAATTTTAATGAACTGATTCATATTTTAAGCAAACAGGATATATTGCTACTTAAAGTATACATAGTGAATATTTTTAATCTTAATAACTGTCCATAATTCATCTGTTTCTTAAGTCTGGGCTAGCAAATATGATTACTCTTTAAATTTTGTATATTTCCAAATGCAGTTCCCCAGTCCCTCCTTTAAGGTCATCTAATAGCATTATCTCCCATGACACCATAATCAGGCAATATGATCATGATTCCAAGGATCTTCATGAGACAGTGAAATATATTAGGGATTTCAAAAACATCCTGTTGGTATCTGAAATATACCACTTTATCAATTTTACATGTAACATCAAATGCACTGTACAACAATTCTGACATAACCTTTGCATTTGCCCAGGACTGGATATACATGTGTGCTCAGAGAATATGAAAGAATACAGATCACTAAAGGTTCACTTAAGTGCTGAGAATCAGGAATCAGCAGTGCATCTGTACCACGTTGTACCCTTTGATAGCTGTTTTTAACAAAAAATAATTACCAAAACAATGAAAAATATATTAGCACTGGAGATAATAAAGGCCTGTTTAGGGGACACACACACAAACAAAATGTGAAAATAGTATAGCTAATTAGTTTTCCATCTGATGTGGTTTTTTTAACTATCAACTGATTGTTTTACTCTGTTAAAAGAGAGTTACAATATTGCTATGTATATCATTGTGAATATGCAAATGGGTAGGACTCAAAGGCTATACCTCAAAACGTGCTGTTTAGGAGATATGTGAGATGCTAAATAGTTCTACCTAATTTAGATGCTCTTTTTTTCCCCATCCAAACTTTGTTACTGCCAGAGCAATAAATAATGTTAAAGAATAAGGGCACAACTGAAGCAGAGGCACAAAAATTGAGTTATACTTAACTTTTAAACACTAACCAATGGCAAATTCTTCATAAAATGTAAAATTTAAATTATTAATATTATAATGTAACACTCAAAACCTCATCAAAAAATATATCATTCATTAAAAATAATTTGCAGATATATTAATGTATAAATCCTGTGGTATATATGGTCCATATTTGGCAATTGAGAATTAAATGCTGTGAAAAATTAAATTTCAAAATATTTCATATTCAGCATTCAGGACATAGCAATTTTCTATTTGTGTTCCAACCATCATTAAAATATGTTTTTCAAATAGTTCTAGACTGCTAATAATTGTCAAAAATGTTTAGAAAGAACTTCATCTCTGTATCTCTGCATACTAACCAAACACGGGCAAAAATTTCCAGTACATTATGTAAATATCTAACTTAAAATGGCCCCCACAAAATTCGGCATACATGAGAATCTTTCATTTTGTGTGTTTCTGTTAGATCAAAATACACACACACACAAACACACACCTCTTAATTGTGTTGTTTAATTGTGTTTTTAAATCAAGGGGGGAAAAGGGAACGCTTTTCAAATTTTATTTTTTACCCCATGCTCCAAAACTTTTAGATTTGTTCCATTTTGAAAAGCAGACCAAAAGAAACTGAGTTGTATGAGACCATGAGATTTAAGGAAGGCTACAAATAAGGATGAATTAGAACTCCTAAAATGGAAATTGTATCTGGTGTTTTGATCAGCATTTTTTTGTGTGTGTGTATGCAGAGAGAGGAAGATAAAAATATATTCCGCCACAAATCAAAAGCTATTTTGAGGTAGTTCTCATTTCAAAAAAAGTTTGCCTAGCTGAAAGAAAGGGGAGTGGGTGGTCAAACAATCTTGTTCTTGTCACAATTTTGATAATAACAGTGTAGTAGCTTTGTGCTTATCAGAGATAAATTTGGAATAATTATGAATCTTAATCAGGAGTCTCTGCTAGCATCTGAAATTAAGAACTTTCAAGGAGTAATGTATAGAAGTTGTTAGCTGAAACTAGCTGAATAATGCTAAACTTTCCAAAAAGTTCCACAGACATCACAGACTAAAGTGTTTTAGAATTACAGGAAATATTTTGAATTTATTGCAATTTTGATAAAGGATATAAGTTATAGAGATTTTGAAGGTTATATATATCATACACAAAATACCTCTAATATTACCTGACAGAATTCATGCCTGCTAGAGTTGAGGGAGAGGAGGAGGAGAACATAACTATGTGGTAAATTGACATTTTGAGGTGAGGAAGCTTTCAGAGTGGGTGCCTATCTCTACTAGGTCACATTTTCCTACTCCAGATGGAAATTTTAATGTTTCAGCCAACCCTCATTCCATTTCCTGATTAGCTATTTCTCTATATGAATGTAGATTAATCCTCTTTTAATAACCATTAACTTAGCCCAAATAATCACATTATAAAAATTCCATCAAATCTTTTAGCTGCCTTTTAATAGTTTTGTCCAATAATTTATATTTCACTGACAGTTTTAATACTTATATGTGAAGTGTTTAGCATTTCATAATTTGCTCACTCATATTAAATTGTTTATATTTATTAAGCTTCATAAAATCTGTTGTCCTCAGAGTCAGTCATCTATCAATTAAGTATTAAAATTTTGAAAGGCTTCTCTCTGGCTTGGCCTTATTCCGAAATATTTGAAGGGCATAGCACCTTCTGATTTAGCAGTTCTACAAGCAGATGGATATTAATCACAATGAGAAATGATAATAGGAAATGTACTATTCTTGTCAAGCTCAAAGACCAACAGATATTTTCAAATTAAGTACATAAGTTCTGCAAAGAACTGCTATTTTAAAAAAGTCTGTCTGATCTAATTTCACTAAATGTGCAAACCTACTAACTATGAGAGATATTTATGAAGAGTGAATGAATGAAGTATGGAGGATGAAAAGGTAACATTATAATACATTAGAATTTTGCACTTAAGTGACTAGCATAGTCCATCTTTTATTATTATTGCTAAAGTCAAGTAAAGAAAATTACACAAAATGGTCTTTGAATTAAATAAGTTCTTTCCTTTGTCTTATATTATTTATATGAGTATGTCACAGAGATGTAATATAAAATGGTGATTGATTAAGCAAATGGGTTGATGAACAATAATACCTCAGGCATGAAGGGAAAGGACTGGACTGTATAACAAGAAGGTACATTAAAGTATCATTAATGTTCAAGACTCTGACATTCAGCAGTTATTGCTGAACACCCCTTCCTTGGAAGGATCCCTCATTGGTTAAGTGATGTAGCACTTAGATGACAAAGCATAACAAAACAGGTAGCTAGCAACCAGTGAAAAATGAAAATAGAAGAATGGCATGTCACCAAGTATAGAAACCCCTTGTCAATGAGTTTGCTATACTACTTTCTCAAGTCCTAGAAATTCATTCTACCCAGTAATAATAAATTTTATCTTCATAAGATAAAGATATCCTCCACATCATTATAATAAAATGATAATAAGTATATAAATGCTGTTAAATAACAAGACAACCAAGTGGGTGCTATTCCTTGCATTTTATGCTACACAGTCTCAGCAGTTTAGAAGCCTACACACAGCTCAGAAGATTAATAAGAAATAATGTTTCTTTCAAAATCAGTTATTAGGATATTTATGCTTCTTATCAAAGTTAACATTAGAAATAGAAGATTGAATGTAATGTCCCCTAAATTTTTTAAATGTTTGTAGGATGATGTTAAAATGGTTCCCTTATAAACTCTAGAAAGTAAAATATTGTGAGAATTTCTTTTATTGTTGTTGGAGAATATTTAAAATATTTAAAATATTGGAAATATTTAAAATAAATTGCAATTTAAATTATAATCAGAAGGCAATAGCAATGTATGTAATCTTAACATTTGTAACCCCATATTATGCTGAAATAAAAAAAAAGGAAAAACAATTATAATCAAACATAGTTTAAGTACTGAGTTCATTCTCTCTATCACTAACTTTTTCATTTTACCTCTCCCCTTCTCTCTCCTCTCTTTCTCCCCCTTGGAGGTGTTTCAAAGGCCACAATTTCTGACACTCTTGAAACTGTCTTGGATTCTTATAAAAAAACATTTTTTCAAATATGTAGACCATCTAGGGTCTTCGTTTTCTTCTGTTCCTGCTTCTTTTCCTTCTCCTTTTGCTTCCTTCTCCTTTTTTGTTCTTTTAAAATGCTGCTTCTTTGCATTTAAATTAAATATTTTGCCTCATCAGTCTCATCAATTCTGGTGAAATTTGGCTTTCATCTGAGATATGTTATATTGTAATTTTTATCCTAACATACTAAGAGCTATATTTCACATTTTTCCTTTTTTTTTTTTTTCTCATTGTGACAGGGTCTCACTCTGTTGCCCTGGCTGGCTAGAGTGTAGTAGTGTCATTGTAGCTCATTGCAACCTCAAATTTCTGGGCTCAAGCCACCCTCCTGCCTCAGCCTCCCAAGTAACTGGGACTACAGGTACACACCATAACACTGAGCTAATCACATTTTTTCTTTTATTATGTACATTTAGTAATTTTCTTGCTTAAATCCATTTCTCAAACAATGGCTTCATAGCATGCAAAGTCTGTGAGGGGTGTCTCTCTGTGTGTGTAGATGGTTTTAAAGAACTAGTTGAGAAAAAAGGTTAAACATTTTATCAGTGTGTACTCTTGTTATACTTCATTGGTGATACAAGCAAAAAGATTGACTTACAGTTATGAAGCAATATGGTCAAGAGCAATGCTTTAAAGCATACTGTTTACAATTCCATTTTATAGAGATTTTTAATACAAGCCCAAATCATTCATTCAGTTTTCCATTCCATTCCTTCTTTTCATTTCATCACATTCATAAAGACAAGAAGTTTTCTTAGCTGGAAATATTTTCTTACCAGCGTAATTGCTGAGTCCCTTTCTCTTCTTTCTTCGCCAATACAACCAGATGCTAAAACCCATCAAAATTACCCAGCAGGCACCACCAATACCAGCTATAAAGGCTGGTTGCTTCACAACATCAGTGATTTGTTCAGTTATGCTGTTATTGTTTTCAGTAATGACAACTTCATTACGTCTCCCTATGAAAGAAATAATAGTTTTACTAAATATTAAATCAAAAATAAACATAAATAGGAACATATACATGATGCATCAAAGGCACAGAAAATTTATTTGAAGACAGGTAATATTTGTTTTGTTCTGAGCCTGCCACATTTATTGATAAGCATATTTTATAAATTTCAGGAGAAAAGTCAAGTTATGAGTTTGGAAATGTGATTAAGGATGTTACTTTCTTGCGTTTTGGTTTGCTGTAGACAGATTCAGAATCACTTCTTGATTTATATTGCATTATAATGAATACTAAAACAACCACTAAGAGTCTAAATAATGACAACTTTTCTTAAGGCAAAGTGTTTTCTAATATAGTTCTCATTTTAAAAAAAAACATTATAACATTTAGCATAGGATATTTGCAAATTGCCTTTCTGCTAAAGCACTGTCCATATTTAAATATTTATGGTTCACAAGAACATGCAACTTATTATTATCCTTAATATTCTACCAAAGAACTTGTTTTGATCAAATATCCTTTAATTTCTGAAAGGCATTAAAAATACTATATATAGAATGTCTTTTGTTCTTTTGGAAGATGTTCAGTAGTGGGATTGCTGGAACAAATGATTAATAAAATGTGGTGTATGTATACCATGGAATTCTACTCAGTCACCAAAAATAATGGTGATCTAGCACCTCTTATGTTATCCTGGATAGAGCTGAAATCCATTCTACTAAGTGAAGTATCGCAGGAATGGAAAAACAAGCACCACACGTACTCACCATCAAATTGGTATTAACTGATCAACACTTAAGTGCACATATAGTAATAACATTCATTGGTGTCAGGCAGTGGGAGGGTAGGAGGTGATGGGTATATTCACACCTAATGGGTACGGTGCTCACTGTCTGGGGGATGGCCATGCTTGAAGCTCTGACTCAAGTGGGGCAAAGGCAATATATGTAACCTAAACATTTGTACCCCCATAATATGCTGAAATAAAAAAAATTTAAAAAACTATTCTATAAAACAATGACAATTACATAAACAGCCTTTCATAGAGATCAGCATGCATAATTAAAATGTCAGGACAAGATAAAACTCGTATATTCCCTTAAAGTATTTGAAACTAATTTGAAAATCCACATGAAAGTTGAATATATAAAAGACAACTTTAAAATTAATCTTAAGGTCTCCATAATTGAGCGTCATACATTTAAATTTGAATTAAAATTGTTCTAGAAGTGGTAATGTTTTGAAAATTTAGACCTCAGGGATAATTTTTTAAAAATCTCAATCCATATTTTAAATACGTTTTAAACTCATGGAATCATTACATCATTGAAGAGCAAAGATTTACATGCTTATTCAGCAGATTAAAAAATTCAGACACTGGGAATGAAGTGATTTCTAATGTCAATATCATGCCTAGGTTGTGACTAATCAAAGACTTTTAAAAGGCAAATTGTAAGCAAAACATAGATGGCACATTTCAGCATATCACATCAGAGGAATGTGTGGGATTTTCATTGCCTGATTTATCTATTGCCTTATATATCTATCTAATATACTAGAAACAGCATGGTCTTTGAAGTCCTGGATTTAAAAATCAACTATGCTGCTACTAGCTAAGGAAGCAATAAGTTTATATAGGACACTTAATCTTTTTGAGCTCCTGTTTCAGTTAGTTGGTAACAGTGCTATCTATTTCACATATTTTGGAAGGATCGGGAAGATGTATATAAAGAGCCTAATATGAACTTGGTGGTTTTTGACTCAAAATTATGAACCATCCAGGTCTAAGAGCTATTTTAAGAGTTTCTCAGTCAACTTCAGTGATATGAATGGTAAATTATCTAGGTTTGAGAATCCTGCAAACTATAAGTACCTTTGTTTATCACACCCTTTCTCCTCTCTTCCAAGGTAGAAAATCAGCCTACATTACCTAGCCTTTTTTTGCAGTTGAGTGCAACAAAGTGACTCAGTATTAGTCAATAGTAAGTAGGCACAAGTGATCCTCCAAGTTTGACCATTAGCACTGCTACTACATTGTTTGACACTCTTTTCCCTTCCTCATGTGTTGGACAGAACCAGGGGATCTGTTGGAAGATGCTGAGCCCCTAAAAAATGGTAGAGCTGTTGTTTAGAAGAATCCATGGTCCCTGAATAACTGTATAGAATGCATTCTCCATTCTGTTGACCCCTATTAGACTGGGCTATCAATAAGAAAGAAACTTTTAATTTTGTAATCCAATAACAATACAGGCTTGTTATAGCTGTTACAATACAGGCTTGTTATAGCTGTTAGCATTTCCTTATACATACTTATCTTCCATTCTGAAAGGTCCAGATTTAAAAACCAGTGTCACTTATGTAATAAACCTGTTTCATTTTCCCCAATATGTTTTCCCTTAATTATTACACATGTTACAGTTATTATTACACAGCCACAATACACAGTCAAAACTATATTTAAATTAGCTCATATTTTCATTATGAGACACATACTTATCTGGTAATTTTTTATTTCAAAGTGTAATGGGGGTACAATGTTTTTGGTTACATGGATCACTCTTGTAATGCTAGAGTCAAGATTAAAAGTGTACCCATCACTCACGTATTCATTGTACCTGTTAGGTTTTTGCCCATCTCTTCCTTCCCCTTTCCCCCTGCTTGATTTACTTTTAATTTTACTTGCCTTTTAACTATTAGGCATTACTAGAAAGAAAACAATCTTATAAAACAAAGAGAAAAAATTGTTCTTCATTTTTGTAAAGGGTCCATAAAATATCATATTTAGTATGGTTCAATATTTATGTTACTAAAGGTGTGTTATCATTTTTTATGCTGCTGGTATTTTTGAAACAATGTTGTCAGTTGGACTAATTAGAGCATAGACAATGGATGTATGTGACCTGTAATACTCCATTGTTCTGGCAGACAAAAAATATAATGAAATATAGTGTCTTCCTCCCATTGGAGAGTAATGAAGAACAAAACTAATTTGTTAAACTAAAAATTAATTAGACACATCAGATTCGATTGTACCTATTACTGTGAAAGTTTGCAGCTGTTCCACATATTATTACCAACTATGTACTATAAGTATAAAAAAGCCAAATGATTATAGAAGCAACAGCTATATTATTAAGCAAGATAAGTAAAAAATTTAAGCCAATGTAAATTTGTTATATGACATACTATTTGATGTCTATATAAACAAGTGTATCTGGTTGCATTATTGTGCCTATAAGTGCAATGATACAGAATTACAAATACTTTAATATAAGAGTCATCTTACCATAGGAAACTGCAGAGAAAAGAACATCACCAATTTTATGCCTGTGTAAGGCTGTATGTTATATTTTTAAAATATTTTAATTAATGGTCCCTTAATGGAACTTTCTGGAACAAAGACTAAACTGAGAAGGAATAGATGAAACAATACATGGTCTGGCACATAACAAATCTAAAATTATCAACCATAAATTGCATCAAATGCCAATACATGATTTAATTAAAGCAAAGAGGAAATGAGGTAGAGCTTGAGTCACTTCAAGTGCTGTTTCCAGTACTGAATAGACAATAGGGAAAGCATAAATTGAAACAGAAAAGGAGATTAGCCATCACTAAATCACTTTTCAACAGTTGTGTAGATAAGGTTATCAGAAAAGATGTTAAGGTAGATATTCAGGGGTAATTAAAGAAACAATTAGAAAGCTTCTCAGTACAACAGTAGATATTAAAAAGAAATAAATCTCTCTAGAACAAATAGTCTTTTCTGGGTTGAACTGTGCTTACTGTGTATGTGTGTGTGTAGGAGCTCACTTCAATTGCTACAACTCTATTTTTTTATGACTACATCTTGAGTAGAGCATATTCTATTTGACTAAGAGATGGGAATGTTATTTATTAGATTATTTTTATTTCATAGGAATATTTGAAAAAATACTTGTATGATACACCAAATAATAAAGGGTACTTGTTATCCATTTCAAGACTCAGTCTTTTTAAAATGATAGTAAAGTTAAGTAAAGCTTTCTATTTGATTTAAAATAATGGAAATTAACTTTCTTATTATTTTAAGTTACTGCAAAATTGTTCAGTGCATAACTGTGATTCTCACAGCATGACCTTGGTTATATCATATGCATGCAACTTTTTACTTCCCTACAAGTGTCATAAATCTCCCAAGTATCATGAAGCAAAGAGACAGTCACTAGGAAAAGAAAGAAAAATAAAGCATTCCATTGCCTGAAAAATGTATTTATTACCAAGGATGATAGAAAAAGAAAATATGAAAGGAAAATATAGTTATTTGGCAATCTTACTTTTCTTTCAGTTAGAGTAATTATATTCAGTCAATCCATTTCATATATATGCTAGAGAGACAGTAAAAAACAAAGTTTGTTTACTTATCGAAGGGTGCTCATAAAAACTATACCTTTTACATATGTTTCATGTATAATTTTTGAGTGAAATGTTAATGGCCTATTTCTAAATACTATAAATAAAATGTTCATATATCTATATCTATATCTATCTATCTATCTATATGTATGTATTTCAGTTGAATTCTTTTGGGTATACCTGCATTTCTTTCTTATTCCAATTTATTTTAGAAAATCTCAGAAGGGCAAGATTGTAGGTTTCCCTCAGGTTAAGGAATTAATTCAGTCTGAATGACTAATTAAGAAAGAGAAGGCAATTTACAGAAAAGTTAATACTTTAAGTTTTTCTCTTCAATGCTTTTAACATACATAAGAAAGAAAATTTGGAGAATCTAAAACATTTTTAACATTATGACTGAATGTTAAATCTGCCCATATACAATAAATACTGTGTGATATTACAGAAATAATTATCTAGAAACTGGCAGCATATTCTATATGCATCATTCAGAAATAATGGAAATGGCTTGTATCTAAAACAGGACAAATACTTTCAAAATATGTAAACTCTTGGAAGAATACTTTTTAGTATTTTTTTAATTAAAGGCATTGTCAAACAAATACAAGCAAG